GCGACGGGGGAGTTGGGAGAAGGCAGCCCACTGGGGACACACAGGTGGCTGAGCTGTCCTGAGCGGTTGGCCCTGGGGCAGAGAGGTTGCTCAGAGGTGCCTTTGGCACCCTGGGACGCCCTGTCCCAGCCCAGTTCCAAGCAAGAAATGCTTCTCAGAGCTCTTGGATTGCTCTTCATTATTCCTTAAACACAAGGGAGTTGGGATGCACCAGGGGGTGTGCCTTCTGCCCAGATGGATGGCTGCTGGGCAGACTTAGGAGGCCACAAGCTGCTGTGGGACCTGCTCTTGCCTTTCACCCGCCCCTATTAGCTCTCTTCAAATGTCAGTCTTCATTTCATGGTTCTTGGGTTTATGGCTGCAGATATCTAACATCATTTCTGTGCTCTGGCAATCAGACTCCTTCTCTGGAAAGCACCTGGGTTGTAGCCTGAAGGTTACTCACTTCATAGAGCAAACACATGCCAACAGCCCCCACTCAGAGCTCTGGAATCAGGCTGGCACCTTCCTGGAAACCTCTCTCAAGCCCAGCAGCCAGCCCTGGCTTTGGTGCAGTCAGTGGGTGCTGTTCAAACGTGGGGGGCTGCAACACCATCCCCTCTGGCCTCCAGCTCTGTGGTGATACTTAGGTAGGGAAGGGTGGCCTGGCAAAGCTCTTTGTGAGTGGGATTAAGTTGCATCAGAGGGAAGAGATTGCTATTGCTCCTAGATTTGTGATGCCAAGCCTAGACAGCTGGGATTTATGCTGTACGAGCAGCTTTGACAAGTTATGTAGCAGGAAACATCATTTCACACAAACTGCTTGTTGCAAAAAAACTAGAGTATGTGGAATTGGGGGGAAAAAAAAAAAAAAAGACTGTTTCCTTGTGTTTCCTCTGTAGTACTGGTGTAGCTGGGTATGTGTCCTGACCTTTTGAGTCCTTCTTAGGGAACAGAACAGCTCAGCAGCAGACAAAGTCCTGGCCGAAGTTGCTAAAACCATGGGAGAGTACCCTGTGGTTTTCAAAGGGGCTCAAATCCTTACAGGAGAGGAGGAGGGGGCTTATGGCTGGATCACCATCAACTACCTGCTGGACTCCTTCACTAAGGTGGGAAAAGGGTGAAGCACCCAATCCTTCCTTGCTGACAGTTTTTCTGAGTTTTCTTAAGCGTGCTTAACACAGAAGGAAAGGTCAGGGCTGGCAGCCTTCGGGAATGATCTAGGGGAAGCAGCCAGGTGTCCTCTGGCTTGCCTAGGATGGGGGTGAAAGAGGAGGGAGAAATCAGGAATGGGGGTGTCTCTGTCAAGGCTAAGGGCACAACTCTGCACCATGTGGACACAGGGTCTCTTGAGGGCAGCGAGGTCAGACGTGCAGCCCAGTGGGGACCCTTTGCTCCTGCTGGGCTTTGTCCTGCTGCCCTGGGAAGGTCCAACTCCGAGCGGTGCTGGGGGACTCCAGGTTTGGTTCAATGTGCCCGTCTGAACCAAACCTCTTTCCTGCCACACTCAGTCCCTCGCTGCCACAGCTCAGAGCAGGACTGGCACCACTGGGCTCCTGTGCAGGCTGCTGGGGGGTTTCTTCCCTTCCCCTCACACCAGTGCCTCCACAGCCTGGTATTCAGGAAAGGCAGCTGCCCCAAGCCAGGTCCCCACCAGTCTTCTGGTCAGGGGACCAGTGACTCAGAGCCACGTGAGCCCACAGCCTGTTGGCACCTCTTGACCATCAGGTTCAATCCCCATTTTTTCTGGCTGTGATAAATGGCCAGGCTGGTTGGGCAGGGAAGGCTGAAGGTTGGGCCTTCAGGCCTCACCTACAGAAATAATTGAATTGAATTAAATACCCATTAAATTTAGTAACAAAACCCTATTGACTTCAATGAGATGAGAATTTTGCTCAGGGCAAGTAAGCCCAGCCATGAGCTAGTCCTCTTCCTCTCCTGTCTCACCTTGGCAGTACTCCCCCAGAGCACACTCGTGGGTTCATCCAGAGGTGGCCAACATTTTGGGGGCACTGGATCTTGGAGGAGGATCCACTCAAATCAGCTTTAGGCCTGAAGGTTCAGCGATAAACTGGAATGAAACCTCCAAGCTCACACTGTACGGATATAACTACAACATCTACACCCACAGCTACCTCTGCTACGGGCAGAACGAGATGCTGAAGCGACTGGCAAAGGAATTAATTGCGGTGAGAGGGGAACTGGGGGGTAATTCGACTGTTCTCACGATACCAACCACAGACTTGTTAATGCAGAGAATAGGAACAGGCAGTGATATTCCAAAGAGGCATCAGGATGGACTGAGAGCTCCTTGGAGCACAGGTAGACAGATGTGGAAAGAAGCATGGAAAGTGGCAGAAGGGGCAGCCTGGGAGAGATCTTCTGGCTGTACACAGCTGCCTCACACAGTGGAGAAAAGGCAGGTCACAGCTCTTCTCAGAGGTGCAGTGATAGGGCAAGAGGCAACAGGCACAAGCTGGAACATGCGAGTTTCCAACCAGATGCAGAGAAAGAGTTTTTCCCAATAAGCATGGTCAAATACTGGAATAGGACCCAGAAATGCTGTGGAGTCACCGTCCTTGGAGATATTCACAACTTGACAGGACAAGGCTCTGAGCAACTCGATCTAGTTGTTCATGCTTTAAGGAGGGGCTTAGCACTGGGACCCTACAGCTCCCCCAGAACTCAACTTCTCTATGACTGCACAGACCTGAGAAAAGTGAACCAGAGATCTTTCTCAGGCCATTTTATTGGAAGACCAGTGGGGCAGAGAGTCTTCACGGAGCTCCACCTGGCCAGGAGAAGCAGCCTTGGTGAGCTGAGAAGGGTTTGCTCACGCTGCACAGCCAGGAAGGATGGTGTCCCTAGCTGGGGCTGGAGCTAGAGGCAGAGCTGGACCTGGGGTGGAGAGGGCTTTGCATGCCCCAAACCATGTGGCCAGGGATGAGATGTGCTGCGTCCCTGAAACTGGTCGGCTTCTGTGGGAAAAGGAATGAGACAAAGCGAAGCATTGAGCTCAGGCTGGGAGGGTCAAGCAGGAGGGTCTTTCCCTGCTGAGGAGGTGGGAGATGCCAGTGCCTGTGGCTTGGGGGGAGCACTGGGTGAATCCTGCTGCCTGGCAAGCCTGCCAAGAGGGTTTGGAGGAGGCTGCAGCCTGCAATTTTGCTATTCCCAGGAGTCATCCTTCAGCACACGAGTCGATCACCCTTGCTACCCAAAAGACTACACTGAAACCATCTCGCTGTCTTCTTTCCGCACCAGCCCCTGCACAAACCGGAGCGATCCACGCCTGACCCTCAGTGACAGGAATGTGACCCTGGAGGGCAGGGGCAATGCCAGCGGGTGCCTGGCTGCCATCAAGAAGCTGTTCAACTTCTCAGCATGTGGCCAGAGCCAGGACTGCACCTTTGATGGCATCTACCAGCCCCCGGTCAGAGGGCAGTTCATTGTAAGGCAAATCCGATCCTCCCACCTCCGTGGGTGCTGTGGTGTCCCTGCATGCCCCATGGCACTGTCACCTCCCCACAGAAGAGGCAAGAAGCTCCCAAAATGCCTCTGCCCCACGGCACACCAGGGATTGCTGCCGTCTGGTTTTCCAGCCAGGTCTCCAAATGGGACCATGTTAATAAAACGCGTGCTTAGTCAAACCCCAAGTTCTCAGTAAAAGAGACCAGCCTAGCCAGCAGCTGTAGGCAAGGCTCCACCTGCTCCCCATGTGCTGCTGTAGCCAGCAGACACCCACATCCCGGCCACCATCCCTGCTGGGACATGGACAACGATGCCCCGGGACTATACGAGGGTGGGATAACCCAGTGAAGAACAAACCCCACCTCCCGCTTCAGGGGAGATGGGGGCAGCTGCCTGGGGAGGGAGGATTCTGCACTGTAACTCAACAGCATTTCTGCCTCTTGCCTTTCAGGCCTTCTCTGCCTTTTACTATAACTTCCAGTTTCTCAACCTGACCGAGGGGCAGTCGCTGGCCACTGCCAGGGAGGCCATAGAGCATTTCTGCACACAGAGCTGGGAAGACGTACGTTCCCCACGATGGGAGGCTGTGGGGAATCTTCACAAGCAATGGGTTCCTGGGGTGGGGGGAGAGGAGTGGGCACCCTGCCAGGGCAAGGCTTCCTGGCTGCTGATCTGTGCCCTACACAGTGGAGCCATCCCTGAGCCCTGTGCAGGAGCCAGGACCATCCTGCACCCACCCTTGCTCATGCAACGTTGGGAAAGAGGCAGCCAGGGCAGGTGAAGGCAGCAAAATCTGCCCTCCAGCACAAGAGCTGGGGATGGGGGTGGGTCTGTAGCACTGGAGGGTGGGGAGAAGAGAGCCAGCTGCTGGCACCACTCTGGAGACAAGTCAAATAAGGCCAAGTTCTAGGACCACCATGGGGCAAAGAGCAGAAGCCCCTTGCATGAGGAGGCTGAGATGGGAGAATCTGGGGCGGAAGGAGCTCCCATATGCCTCTCTCTTTCCATGTGGAGTGTAAATCCTCCTCAAAGGAGTTGCCCCGTGTGGGCAAGACCAAAATATCTGCCTGGTCCAGAACTCTTTTTCTGGATGCTGGTGACTGCGGAGCCATTGCCCCTTGTGCAGCCGCCATCAGGGCAACGTCCCTGCATGGAAATTGCCTGCAAATAACTTCCCTTCCTCCCCAAACATATGCCCACCCCAGCTGCCTTCCAGCTACCCTGAAGAGAATCCTGAGCGACTGCCTAAATACTGTGCCAATGCCAACTACATCCTCACACTCCTCCTCGACGCCTACAAGTTCAACGAGACCAGCTGGAAAAACATCTTCTTCCAGGCGAAGGTAGGCAGCAAACCCAGCCTGCGGCAGGACTAGAGGCAGTGCTGGGGAAAAGAGACAGCTTCCCGCGTTGGGGCGCTGTGAGAGCCACCGTCCAGAAAGCCCTGCCCGCCCCACATCCCAGCATGGCACTGGGTGTGGGACCAGCTACTGCACCCAGTTTGAGCCGTGCAGGAGTAGGTGGCCCTGTGTCACTGGTGAGGCTTTCCTGCAGGACTAACTCATTGTCCCCTCTCTCCTCGGGCAGGCAGGGAGCACCGACGTCGGCTGGACCCTGGGGTACATGCTGAACCTCACCAACATGATCCCAGCGGAGGCTCCGGCCTGGGTGAAGGGGCACGTTCCTTCCCTGTGGGCTGCAGCCATCGCCTTCATCATCCTCACCCTTGCCTTGGCGCTTGCCGCCCTGCTCCTGCTCTTGTGGGTGTAGAAGCCCGGCTGCATTTCGGAGCATGGCAGGAGAATGTTGGGGCTGGGGAGTTGTTTGTACCACGCTGCCCTGCACTTCTGCCTGCAGGACTGGCAGCCTGAGGCTCGTTCAATGATGCTGAGCATGTTAACCTCTACAGCACTGAAGAACAAAGGTCTGGCCTCCCACGGGATTGCCCCCAGCATGCAGATAGGCACCGCATGAGGTCTGCAGAGGAGCACAGCTGGGATCAGCTGATGCACCAGAGGAACCCCACATGCCTATCTGCCTCCTTATACCCCTATGCCTGTTACAGGTACGGCTTTCATCCCACTAGCTGGCGTGTGGGGCAATCGAGTAGCTCTTTGAGGGCTAGACCGTTAGCGTGTGGCTGCAGGCACTTGGTGACAGGCCTCACTTGGTGACAGCATGCAAGGCTCTGCGGTACCCCAGCTGGCTCTCTGGAGGTTTGTGCTTACCTCATGATCTCAGAGACAGAAGGCAAGTTGAGCATCCAAAGCATGGTCCATGCCTCCCCAGAGAGTCCATCATCTCATCTCATCTCATCTCATCTCATCTCATCTCATCTCATCTCATCTCATCTCATCTCATCTCATCTCATCTCATCTCACTTTTCTTCTGGCATAAAGGGAGCAATGTTCCTGACTGTCTTCCTGGAGAGAACCCTGTCCCACTAGCAGAAGGCCTGGACACGGTGGGTGTCAGGCTGAGACTCCAGCCGGCTGCGAGTCCTGGCCTGGCCCTGCGCACGAGCCTGAGCTGAGTCCTGTTCACAACTGCGCCCTCGCCTTTGGTTCTGCTCATTTGCCATCTGTCCTGTGGATGATTCATCTTGTTATTTGGTCCCAGCAGCAAGAAGCTGACCTTTGGCGTCTCTGCAGAAAGATGGGTGCCTCACAGCTCCTGCCATCCGAATACACACTGTAAAAGGCAGTAAATGGGGAAATGCCTGTTACTTTGCTCCTGAACGATTACGATTTTATTGTTTCCATCTCCCAACTGTTATCAAATAAACATTGTAAAAGGCAGCGAGCAGGAAAATGCCTGTTATTTTGCTCCTGAACGATTATGACTATTGTTTCCATCTGCCAGGTGTCAGGATCCTGATTTAAGATCCTGCCAACTATGCCAATTTGTCGCTAATGGGTGATTTAGATCACTTAAAGAACCACTGTCAAAGGCATTAGCAAAAGTGTGTTTCGTATGACATGGTAAAAATGCAACTTAATTAAGTTCAGATGCAAGGTTCACTCTATTAATTACTGCATGGAAAAATCATAGAAAGGAAAATTGAGTTACACTGAAGTTAGAATGATTCACAGAAATACCAGAGGTGAAAAGGGCAAGGAAGGCCCTCCCGTTGCGTCACGGCATTCAGAATGGGTCCCCTTGTTTTCTCAACTCCTCCTCAGAGAGGAGTCCAGGTGCGGCTGGATCCAGGCTTAGTCCCAGACTTGGTCAACAGTTTGTGTCCAAAGGGTTACATATGCAAAGTTTATGTAACGTGTCATTCGCATCAACTCAGCCTGCAGTCAGAGTTCCCAAGGCAAATCGAAGTTACCATCCTCGGGGGTTATGTGTGAGGCTGGTCGCTTACGAAGGCCTGCCACGCGTGAAAGGTCTCTCTGCCTTGAGGAGCAGCCTTGAGGGGTGTCCCAGCTCCAGGGGAGATGACTGTCATGCAGCCAAGCTGCTTGGCAGGGAGAGCGCAAGGAAGGCCCAGTGGGGCTGCCATCTGTATGGGATAAAGCGGTTGGCTTGCAGTCATGCAATGGAGAGAGGTGAGCGTGAGGCTACTTGCACTCACAGCTTTCTTTGCTCCTTGTTAAATGAGTCGTGGAAAAGCCACCCACCATTCATGTGTCCATCGCACGGCCGGTGTTCCCAGCTCATATGCGCCGATGCTCGCCGTGTCACTGCTCCGTTGTCTGTTTTCAGAGAGCAGGTTGGAACTAGAGGAGTTCCTGGCCCAGACACAGCCCAGGCCTTCAGCTCCTCCGGAGTTGGGTCAGGGGGTCGAGCACACCCGTCACACCAGGTACAGGCTGGTGATGATGACAGGACTCAGGGGAAAGTCAACACCGCCCTGTGCTATGGGAGATGCCCCTGGAGCCCCTGCAGTGTCTGCCAGACCTCGGAGAGGATGCAGCAGGGCACGAGGACAGGCCTTCTCCTGCTGAGAGCTGGGGTGTCTCACCTCACCCGCCCACTGGCTGCCAATGGGACTCCCCAAAAAAGTAACAGGGGCCCTGGCAGCTGCCATGTCCCAGCAGCATTTCCCAATTGCCCTGTGTGCTGGGAAGGGAGGATGAGATGTCTGCCGGGCACAGACATGGGGTGCATGGACCAGAGAGGAACTTTGTGCAGGAGAGCAGAGGGCTGGGGCCATCCCCCACCTCACAGGCCTTCCCAGTTCTGGGCAGAGCCCAAGCCCCGTCTACCAGGTCAGCTTCCCCCTATAGCCCCAACACCGCTGAACCCCTGGCTGGCACTGGCCATGGGCGATGCAGACCCTTGCCCTGGGATGGGGCAGGACATGTCTGCCCCACATGAGGTACCTGCTGCAGGCTGCAACCAGCCCCACTGCTGCCAGGCACCCCTTCTCGCTTCCCTGACCCACCATCACCAGCCGCCCCATATCACTGTGGTCCCCACATCCCCAGTGCTGAGGCCCTGCCCACACGGCTATGGCCTCCCTCCCAGAGCATCTCCAACCAGCAGTGAGGGGAAAGGGGAAAAGCAGACAGCACATATCTACAGGGAGGATTTTGTTAAAGCCCGCACCGGTTCCAGCTCACCAGGCCAGGACAGAGGTGCCCCATATTACAAGTTCACAGCTCCTGGACACACTGGGGTGGCTCCCCAGTCTGCAGTTCCTCGCACAAGCATGGCAGCAGGATTAAGTGCCTCCAGCAGCCTCTGGATCCAGTGCTGCTAGAGACTCTCATAACCGAAGGAGTTTTTCTGGTAGCATATGACTACAAGCAGGCAGAAGATGAGGATGAGCATGATGGCCAGTAGAACTATGGCTGCTATCCAGTTGCTTCTCTGGAGCGCTATGGCTCTCGGGGGAGTCTCTGAGGAAATCATGTTGGTGAGATTGAGCATGTAGCCCAGAGTCCAGCCCACATCCACGTTAGCGACCTGTGCAGACAGGGAAGGGAGAGGGATGGGAAAGGCTGCAAGGTACCATGCAGGCTGGAGAGCTAGAGAAGACCTTTGCTATTGCACCCCCGTGTCCTGCTCCACAGCCACTGTATCTGTGGGCAGTGGGCTGCAGATAGCCCGTTAGTGAGATAGGCTGGGGGAGAGCAGTGAGACAGGCTGGGGGAGAGCAGTGAGACAGGCTGGGGGAGAGCAGTGAGACAGGCTGGGGGAGAGCAGTGAGACAGGCTGGGGGAGAGCAGTGAGACAGGCTGGGGGAGAGCACAAATGGCCAGGCCAGATGTCCCAGCAAGCGTCTGTGAGCATAACGCAAGAGTTGGTCTGGGCATGGGCAGTAGATGGTGCTGCCCCCACATCCCTTGACCCCCCACTCAGGCAGGGGCAGGGGCAAGGTGGGCACAAGGCATTTCACAGCACAAAGCATGGACACTGGGGGCTGCCGGGTACTTTCCTACCTGCCAGACGAAGTGGATGTTAAGCCATGTCATGTGGTTGAATTTGTAGCCTTGCAGGAGCAGGGTGAGGGCGTAGGTGCTGGCTGCGCAAGTGTCACAGTGGTGGGTCCTGTTCATGGTGAGGAACTCTTTCTGTACCTGCAGAGGTGGAAGAGCCAGGGGGCTGCCAGCACGGAGCAGTGCTTGGTGCACCCATGCTGTAGGGAACAGCCCCACGGTGTAGCTGGGAGCGAAGACCTAGGAGTGAACATAAGCCGGCCGTGTGCGCT